TTCCCTCCTCCATTTAGGTTTCTATTCCTGTCACCTCTGACTTTGAAGAAGGAAGTGGTAAGATGTTGTTTTTGTTGTAGGTTTCGTTGTTGTTCGAATAAATACAATTTACTAGACCGGTCATCTTGTTCTAAAATATGTTGTTCGAATAAATAAAATTTACTTAGGACCAGTCATCTTGTTCTAAAATATGTAAATTTAGAAACATAGGCTCTATGGGTTTTGAAAATGTAGCATTTAGTGACAAAGCACGTGTTCTCAACGGAAAGTCATAATAACCTACCTTACTTCATGTGTCAATAAATCGGGCCGTGCCCCCCTTACGCTCAACAGTGATGGCTTATTGTCTCTGTTATATATCAGTAAACTCAATGCAGACCACGGTGCGTGCGTCCCTCCTTGCAGGGAATTTGATGCTGAAAACGAATAAGCACCAAATAGCTTGGGAAAGATATAGAGAAGTGAAATTCTCCAAAAAATTATTCCGTCGGCTATATCGTTAAAATGATGGCCTTATTGCTTTTCGAATGAAATCTTGAATCGAATATGTTTCCATACAACGACCCCCTTCGTCAAATTTGTCAATGCTCATTGTTACTTATGGGAGAAATCGTCAAAACTTACTACTTTAATTTGTGAACGCTGGGTCTTACCCGGATGATCACAGTCCAGGATCACCACATCAAAGTTTCCGAACAAAAGTGCCACAAGACTTGCATTAGTTCCCAACCCAGCCATTTCATTAACTCCATTATTATGCAGGTATTTCCGCCCAAAGTGTGAAACATTCAGTTGTAAAGCGTCCAAATTCAGAATCATCGTCATGCAGCCCTGTTGCAGCTCCTAGGAAAAGGATACGCCAATCTGCAGGTGGTACCGAGATTGAAAATGCGCGATGGATTTTCCTTTTTAATTGTATTTTTTTCAAGTCTGCATGTTGTTACGCGTTTATTTATGGTAAAATTTGTTTATGCAGAAAGACTGGCATTATATTTATTAGAAATCCTCTTTACCCACTTATATAAGAGAATAAAAAATAATGAATTAAAACTGAGTGGGCTCAATCCAACACCCGTGTATCTTGAACAACTATAACCTACTCTTGCATTAACGGCTGGAGACTATAGCTAGGAGACGTCAATGACCTCCATTTTCAAGATGCTTGTTGGACCATACGCAAAATAAGAGGTCAGAAATAATTAATGAGTCTGGAAAACTTTCTAAGCGTTTTTTTTTTTTTTTGGTTTATGTATGGGTTGGGAAAATGGTTCCCTGCCGCTGCAAATGTCCCCTCGCTCAAGCTTGACAATCTCTAGGGCAGACGATTCGGTATTGAATGATGCCAAAAAATGAGAAGTCGCCTTTCGCCACAACTGTTCGCTATTCACCAAAGCCTTGAAGCACCCCTTTTTTTAATTTTTAATTTTATTCTCCCTCCGTTGTTATCCTCAGATATCTATTTGGTTAAAGATGGTAAACCATCATATGAGAAGTTGCAATATCTTGCCAGGGAACTTGCAGGAAAATGGAAGACATTAGGTAGACGCCTGGGATTCAACGAAGCTGTAATAGATGACTTTGATCAAGCCAATAAGAAGCTGAAAGAGAAGGCTTATAAAATGTTAATAGCTTGGAAACAAAAAGTAGGCTCCGAAGCCACTTACAAAGTTTTGTACGATACCTTGTGTCACGAATTGGTGGAATGTAAAGATCTAGCAGAGCAGTATTGTTGCGATAAGATTGCAGGAAATGCCTCTCCTTAGTCATATATACTATAGAGACTGAGTCGTTTCTTTATTACGTCAAATATCTTTGTGAGTACTCTAAAGAGCGTCTGTGTCGAGCATTCGCGCTCAGTAAGTCGTTCGTTTTCCTTGCGATTCAAGATAGGGGAAAGATTATCTCTAAAAAAAACATATTTACTCGTATTTTTGCACTCAAGAGCCGCTAGCTAAAGAATACTAAGGTCAGAATTCACTCAGACGTCCAGAACAACGAAGAGTCAAATAACGTATGCGCATGCGCTACGCTTTGGCGCGGAAAACGAGTTTTGAGTGGTTTGCACGTTCGATGTGCTATGCGATAGATTCTAGCCGTTTTTTCCTTGCTGCTTTTTTTACAGAATAACTTACAGAATAACTTAAAAAAACTTTGTACACCCCCTAGATATTTTCAAAATTTAATTTTCTTCTTAAAAACACTGGAAATAGGAAAATGCCTTCAACGACAACAAAATGCCTTGGTTTTAAATGCCAGCTCTATTTTTCGCCGCAAATTTCGAGCGCTTGAGCCCGTGTTATTGACCGTATAACTGATGTAGCATTTCGTTATTTAGCTCTGTCGTCCATATAACTGTGACGTAGTATTTTTTGTTTAGCTCTATCGTCCAGAGCATGTGAAGCACATTACTACCCTCAAGCATCTCATCTCATACTTCACAGCTTGACATTAGAATGCATTTTCTCCTTATTATTCTCTGTGCATTTCCTAAGGAACAGACATAGAGAATTGGTTTAACAATTAAGAGCTTCTTAAGTTAGTGATCAGTTACTATATTTGCGTGTTCTTAATTTTTGATTTAGGTTGACACTGTGAGGAAAATTAGATGCTAGACACTATTTGAGTTGAATTAATCGTTTGTAGTTAGCTTGAATTAACAGCATAATTTTGTAAACAGTGAGATTCCCCTTGTCTCAGTGTGGTGGATAAGCATACAACTTGTAACGGCCTTAGATTATAAAATTTGTAGATGCTGAGCTACATTTTTGTTCTTAAAAGTTTGAAAGTTCAGCAAAAATCAATACAAAATGTCTCTTTCTCAGGCTTAACTCCCATGATTCTTTGTGGTTTATAGAGGTTTCGCCCCATTGAAAGTTCAACAACAAGTTCACCCCTGCTTCGACGAGTGGTCCCTGTCAAATATAATATAGATTTATATAGCCAACCCTAAAAGCGGAGTTCCAGTCAGTTTTTTTTCCAGCCCTTCAACTTCTAAAAATTCCTATGCACTGGCTCTCGAAGAGTTAACGAGATGTGGAACGGAAGGACGATATTCTCACAACTTGCAAAGTGATCAACGTATCAACATGCGTGCTAGTCAGCGGTATTTTCAAGCAGCTGAAGACTTTCGTTGACATTCCTTATGGTTTGAACGGATTGTCCAGAATATAGAATGTTTTCTTCCTTAGATGTCTGTATCGGTTGAAATGATATTCTATTGCCCGTGTTTGTTAATTTTGGTTTAGACAGAATGAAACGACGTTAAACGACTTCGAGTTAAGATCTAGATATCACCAGTCCATTGAAGGGTTTACAAGCGGGATCAGTAGTCAGTGAAACAATGTGCCAGAATCGTACTTAGCATCTCATACCTTCTCCTGATGTGGCCATTTATGACTGTTTACTTCAACGATTTTTCTCCAACCTGTCCAACTCCTCTAATAAGCGTGGAAAAAAGTCACATTTCAACTCGTGTCGATGTTTAAATTCTCCTCTTTCAACTGCTCTGGCTGCAAAGACCTATGCTGTAATTACATATCACTGTACATGTCTTTAAACCAACTGTGCTCTATCCTGGCAACTCTAGCTGCTGAAATTCTAAATTTGTCTACCGTCTGGTTCTTACGCCGCGAAAATTTCAACGCAGACAGGCTAGAACTAGAATATCTTTGTGCATTACAGAAACTGATCCAAACATCAATCAAGTTTTACATTTAGTTTTAAAGTTGAGTCGATTTTGTTATTGACTCATGAAAGAGATTCAAAAGTCTTGTATGGTAGCCTCTATGAATTTCAGTCCTGGAAACTGGAGTTGTGGCAACATCACGGTTACCATGAAACACGACAATACATTTTATTAATCTGAAAAAGTATTCATTTGACCATCTACTAACACTTTCACTGGTTCATTCTGACAAAATTTTAACATAAGAGGTTTTAAAAGGCTTGGGTATTTGTTAAAATTGGCCAACTTAATGCAAAAACTCAGGATATACATTGAATGCACACTTTTTTAAACATTTTTTCATTAATGCAGTTACCTGCTGGCAAAACATTATAATATATTTCAACCCAACCATTTTCTCATAAACATCATTATAAAATAATTATGCAGGTACCCTAGCTAAATAAATAAATGGCTAGTATATACAACATGTCTTAAATGTCACCTTCAGACTAAGCGAACAGCATCAAGAAAGGTGTAGAAGGGAACAGGGTCGCTTATTTCTGTCATTCATTTGCTTCTCACACCTGTTGCGGACTAGTTCATGAGGCTGGGCTGTCAGGGCGAGGGACTGAGGATTTTAGCAAGCCATTAGATTTAAGGGAAATGTTAATGAGGAAAGTGACTTTTTTGGAGCCTGGAAAATATCATTGTGTAAAGCCATACAGGTACTAGCAAACTCATTCTTATAAACTAGTATGAGGAAGGATACAAGATTTTACTTCATAGATTTGATGCATGGGCTGTGCACAAAATTTTAATCGGGTTACTAGAACTAAAATCCTCAAGCAATGATAAAACGTAGCCGGGCTAACACTGAAGTCGCCTCAAGCGCCAAAGTCGTTGTTTTCAAATGTCGTTTTTTTTTTTGCGAATACAAGAACGTGTATAGTATAAAGATCAATATCTTAGACAATGGCTCCGAGAAGCCGAATTAAATACAAAGATAATAGGGTTAGCTGCAAAAATGATTGAGATCGTTGGAAAATGGTTGCAGCAAGGATGCGTTTTTTCCAGAAATAGAAGGAAAGGGCGGAGTTTGCCTTAGATGGCCAATACTGAGACGGGCTTAGTAACAACAGATATCAATGTCGCGATTTTGTGACGGGTCGTTCATAAATTCAACAATCGACAAACGAAGTCAGGATGAAAAGTTTTTTGCCACAGAAGCATTTCACACCAAGTTTGCTGCAATTGTGGCAATTATTCGATGGACCATGCCTTTAGAAAAAGTTTTCCATCTGCCACAACCTTGTTTCAGTTTTGTTTCGGTTTTGCCTCAAGACAGGCGAAATCCTGCTGTGAGAAGAATAAATTTCGCAACTAATTGACAACTGACAAAACTTAAAAAAATCAACCGTTCATAATATTTTCTGTCCTTAAGTTTCCTATGTTTTGGTTTTTGCAGAATTTTGTAAGCGCGTTTAAGAAAGTTATAAGGTCTGTTTGTTTGATTGTTTGCTAGTACGTATCACAAAGACAAGTGATTCCCAACTTCCGGTTGTAGCCCAATTCATTTCCGCTTTGTTCCAGGATACATTGTGCACTGTTAAAGATGGCGGACGAAGGAAAATGAAAATTTACCCGAAACAATTAGCTCATAGGGAAAAGATTACAGAAGAATCTCAGGCTTAGCGAAGTCTCTTGCTGATTGCAAAATAGAGGTAAGATTTTAGTCGACTCATCGTGTTCACTACGCACAAGTATATGTACGTTTTGACAAAGTCAGCTTCAAGATTGTCCAAGACTTAGGGGTTGTAGCTAGGGATTGTTCCAGTTTATGCTTCCATTTCTTTTTCCGAGCATTGCTCGTATTAATCTTTATCGTGACAAATTACTCAACAGGAAAGGTATTTTAAACCTAGAATGAAAAAATGACATCGAAGGCACGTGAGGTTTGGTTTGTTAATTTCTTTTTAACCCTGTAACCCCCAAGATCTGATTGTTAAATCTCCCCTCTAGCTGCTACACATTATCTTGTAAATTAGTTGTAAGAATTTGTTGTTAAATCAGCATGTTTTTGTCTCTGATTGATTGAATATAGTGCTAGTATTTTAGCTAATCACAGACCAAGGTCATGGAAAAGCTTAGAAATATTAGATTGTTTTTAGGCTCAATCAATGTTATAAATAGCACTATGTATGACAAGTAAAAATTGTCTCCTCTTAGCCATCTACCTGAAATCTTGATCCTTTTACTTCTGAGATTTGAGAGTTGACTAACTCAACTGAAAACCTGATCTGACACAGTTTGTTTTTAACATTTCTGAGAATATGCTTGAGATTGTTTTAATGCTCAACCAAAAATTTGTCAAGTTGTTTTAGATATTTTATTTCCTCAATGGTTTTTATTTAGATTTTTTCAGGCCCTTCTTTATGGATGTTGTCAATGTTCCAAAAAGACAACATGAAACATGCCTGTGATAAGGAGTTTCAAGCTCTTAAAGCCTGTATAAGACATTAGCTGTAAGTTTCCTGGTAGACTGACCAGGCTCTCTTTTCTCTCCATGTTTAATTAGCTTTGATACCATGTTAGATTTCAAACCACAAACTCAAGTATTATCATAACAAGATAGTCAAAGGGGGCCACAAAAGTGTCCTGTCAGGAATGGCAGAGATGTCATGTTGCTTGACAGTAGTATATCTTCTACTCGGTGACAGATGTATAGAATAATTCTTGTCATCAAAAAACAAAGCACAATTTAATTACAAGAATTGATTGACTTCTGTTCTGATTATCACCTAGCAACAACCAATTATATCTAATTTACTAGCATAAAATCCATAATAAATCAAGCATTCTTTTCCATGTGATAAAAGTAGCTCTTGCACATTTGTTGTACAGAGTGAATACTACAGCAAAGTGAGCCAAGTGATTAAATACTTAGACAAACAAGTGTAGTTCAATAAAGCCAAGTGAACAGGGTTAAGTTCTCAGCAGAGAGAAGGGTTATAGAAAAAGGAAGCCTTGGTTTTTCAATGCAATACATTCTTTGCCATATACCTGTCCAGAGTTTGTTTCAGTTCAAACTTTGTTAATGAACTTGAACATATTAGGTATGTAAGGACTAGCTTCATGGGAAACAGTGACTTTTCTTTTTTCCAAGACTCTCAAATGTTCCTTGAGCAGAAGGCTAAGGGGAAAATCAGGGTCAGATAAAAAACAAGTTTGATTTGAGAGGTATAACATCATGATATTAAAAAATTTAAAAGTAATTTTGAGTACTTACATACTTAAACATGTTCTCTCAAACTCTAATATATACTCTCAAATTAGTCAGCTTTAATCAGAATTAATCAGGTTCATACTTTTATCATGTGGTGGGTACTGTCTTACAGCGAGAGAGGAATGGGGTTTAACTTTTCATTGTCAAATTGTTGGTGTCCTTTTTTGTTATTTTCTCCCCAACAGTCAACAATCATTTGCAAAAATGAGGGACTTGAGATAAGAGAATACAGCAAGTCACTTAGTCATAGGACTGTAATATACTTTGTTTACTTAAATTCAAATACTACCTTCAAAATAATCTAATGATAACCATTATATACTGAAACAAAATGTTTCATTCTTGATTGATCCATTGTGAATGAATTTGAAAATTACTTAATAAGTTACTTATTATGTTACAGGTTTTCCATACCACACACGGGCTTGAAATGAAAGCTTTTGAAAATAACTAAACAGCACTAAACTTTTCCATTGTTAAAGAAAAAAAAATTAAAATTTGATGTGTCCATCACCCTCTTCATTCTAATGAATGATCAAATCATACAATATAATTAAGAAATGTACTTGAGCTCATGGGATTTCCCTTACAAATACATGTGAGATTAAATTGGATTCATAGAATTGAGCAATAGAAAAAAAGAAATGAAATTCATCATATTTGGAAGATGATGTTCATGTTACTGTTAATTATGCTGTTATACACATTTCCCATCTGCAACCTGTGCTCACATGTGCCAATTCCTGCAAGAACACACTGTCAGCCAAGGAAATTGTAGAAGCACAATGATATTATAGAATCCTTAATTTATACACATGCATTTGGTATTGTCTGTTTTAACCCAAAAAAAGCAAAGAGAAATTAGTTGCTTGTTACTATTTGGGGTTAAAGGTTCTGAGAAAGGTAATGTTTAAACAGTAGAAAATTTGGTGTGCCTGGCCTTTTTTTTTCCTATGGGACAAGATGTTAATAAAATAGGGATTCTTATCAATGAATTTTTTATCATGTATTTAATTTTTTTACCTCTCTGAAGTTTCCCTCTTGGTTGATGATGTATTTTTGTTGCAGGCAAAGAAAATTTAATTGTGGAAAATTGAAGAGAGAGAACAACCACACCTGTTGCAGCAAAGTTCTGAGACAAAAGACGCCACAGGGAAACCACTCATTTTTTGTCTGGGATGAAAAATGTAGTAAGGAGACTTTTGGGCTTGTGGAAACTTAAAAAGATTACTGCTAATATGAAATATATGAGAATTACTTTGCATACTGAGTATGTTGTGTCCTTTTTACATTTCATTTAAAAAGTGAGATTATATTTTAAAACTGAAATAGAAACTAAAAATTCTGTAAACTGCTGCTTACAAGCCCCCAACCCCCATTTATAAGCCCTCCCCCCCCTTTCAGGTTAAATGCCCATCTACCTTTGAACAAAAATAAATTACAAAATACAAAAGAAAAATATTAAATACTAGGAGAGCAAAGATGAACTTCGAGGGGGAAGTCTGAACTTCCGCGTTTTTTATCTTACAGTTTTGTTCGTGTTGTTAGTTTTTTGAAAAAATCCTGTTTTAAATGTAATGAAACGAGTTTGAGTTATTTCGACGTTTTGAAGCTTAATTAAAAACCAATAAATGCAAAACGTATTTTGATCAGCGTTCAGCTTCTTTCACTCTTTCTAGTACTTTCACAAGCCCCCACGGACGTAGGCCCCTCCGTTTATAAGCCCCCTCGGATATAGGCCCCTCCGTTTAAAAGCTCTTCCTAAAACTCTTACGAAGTTGTGTAATCACTGAGCTCATAATCGCTAGCTTTCGGTATATTTGTGTTGTGGAAGTTAAAGGATTGGAATAGTTACATTCTCAACTTGAAAGTTTGATTCCGTTTTGATAAAAAACAAAGACAACAACTTTTTTCAAATTTTCAAGGCTGTTTTGCGGCTGATTAGCTCGCAGTTGAGAGAGGCAAGAGAGGGGACTTAAAATTACCTATGCGGCCGTAAATCAGTTTTAAGAAACTTACAAAATTCAAACGAACAAACAGTATAGAGGCAACTGAAAGTTCTTTGTTCAAAAGTATTTAAAATTTCTGGGTTAAGTATGCAACAGTTTATTCTCAGACATCCTCATATTTCGCTCGTCGGCCAAAATAGTTATCATATTTGTACAGTTATGATGGCTAACTGTGCGAGCGTGGGCTACCTGTGAGCTCAGTCACGCATTTAGTGAAGAACTTAAAAACAAGAATAGGGCGGAATTACCCAAAATCAGCAGGGATTTGCTAAAGCAAAGGCATAGAAAAAACCAGGAAAGATTTATTACTCGACGTTTCGGGGTCATCGTGACTCCATTATCAAGAGACTAGTTTAAAAACATGCAAATAAGGAAAGGTACAAGAATAGCATAAATTAGAATGAACGGCTTAAACAAACACCTTGGCGCGGATGGAATCCGTTTGCACGTTCAGTGTTGGCTTACGCATGCGAATATACAACATTTCATTAACAAGGCAATCAAATTTGCAGTTACATTTCGCGATGGCGTTGAATTGCTCGATCAAGCGTTCAGGCATTTCACTATTGTGCTGGAGGTGGTAGTGTTTGTAGATAGAAGATGATTTCCTTGTGTGCCCTTCTACGCGCTCGTGTAAGTGACCACGAGTATAGCCCACATACCCTGCATCACACAGGTTACATTTAAATTCATAAACGATACATTGTTGGTTAACAATAGGGGGCTTAATTTCGTGTTGCTTAAGCTGTTGATCGAGCTTAGGGCTAACGAACACTGGTTGGACAGTCACGCTTAACTTCGAGCTTAGACTGTTCAGTTGTTGTTTAACATGATTAGCTGACGACTGGTCCTTGAAGGGTAACACTAATCTCACAATCTCCGATGGTACGTCTGGTGATGGACAGGGCTCTGCAGATGAAATCCTTCTCTCAACGAACCGCTTGATTGTAGTTTCAACCAGTGGCTTTGGGTATTTCAAGTTATGAAAAACCCCTCTAAGGCGGTCACATTCCTCGGAGAAGAAAGACCAGTTAGAAGATAATCGATAAGCGCGATCCACCATGGTGTTAACTAGGCTGCGCTTGTACTTAATGTCAACATGACTCTGGAAATGCAGAGGGAGACCCGTGTTGGTTCTTTTGATGTAGACCTTGCTCTCAATCTTTGGTGCACGGTTAAGCAGTTCAGTTCCTAGAAAGGGAAGGGATCCTTCCCGTTCGACTTCCATGGTAAACTGGAGGGAGGGATGGGTAGAGTTAAGGGTGTCTAGAAACTGGCCAGCGGTCACCCTATCAGGCATTACGGTCAGGGTGTCATCGACGTACCTCCGGTAATAGCGCGGAAGTTGACCGTGTTGTTCGAGGTTTTCCTCAATCGAGCACATGAAGACGTTAGCCAGCAACGGTCCAAGGGGAGAACCCATAGCGACTCCATCTGTCTGCTCATATAAAGCACCGTCAAACTGGAAAAGCTGGTTTTTCGTAGCTGCTCGGAGGAGGTCGATTAGGTCCGCTTTAGAGATGTTCAAGCTGTGCGTCTCGTTGAACCAATCCTGGGCAAAGGCTTTTTCAGCTAAGATCTGTATTGTTTCCTCCAATGGTACATTTGTAAACAATGAGGTGACGTCATAGGAAACTAAAATTTCGCCGTTCTTGATCTCGAAGCCTCGTATTTCATCAGCAAAGCGGAATGTGTCTGTCACTGTATATTGGTTGCACGACAGGGGTTTCAATTTGTCGTCAAGCCATTTCGCTAGCGAGTAATTGTAGGTGTTAGTAGCAGAGAGTATTGGCCGCACGGCCAACTGTTCTTTATGTGTCTTCGGCAAGCCATACAAGTGTGCGAGTCTGGACCCTTTCGGGCGGAGAGCGTCAGCAATGGATTTCGGTAGAATCTTTCGAACGAGAGTTTCCAACTCCCTTTCTTTCTGAAGGAGAGGGTGGTAATACTTAGGAGGTCGTCCTCTGGTTCTCGGTCTCTCCGAGTCGACGAATCGGAATTTGCTGGTATCGTTTATTGACGCTTCGGATAGTAGGCGAAGATATTCTGATTTATCCATAACAACAACACCAGACCCTTTATCCGGTTTTGTGACAACGATGTCATCGCGTTTTTTCAGATCTTCAATAGCTTAGTGTATATTCGCATGCGTAAGCCAACACTGAACGTGCAAACGGATTCCATCCGCGCCAAGGTGTTTGTTTAAGCCGTTCATTCTAATTTATGCTATTCTTGTACCTTTCCTTATTTGCATGTTTTTAAACTAGTCTCTTGATAATGGAGTCACGATGACCCCGAAACGTCGAGTAATAAATCTTTCCTGGTTTTTTCTATTACCCAAAATGCGCCATTTATTCTTAATGGGTGGGAAGGGGGGCAGGGCTGATGTTAGCCTTAATTTTCTTCATGCTCTTGGTTGATGGAAATGAGCAAAAAAGCTGCCGTGGGATCAGGAACTTTAATTCGCCCGGTTCTTCGCTTGTCTCCAATCTACTGACTCAGAGTCGCAAACAGGTTTCTTATTTTGTGAAAATTTGTCGGTTCAACTTATCTTGGGACAATCATGAAAATGACAACGATCTAACCAAGATAAACACAAGGAATCAAATTTACCCACTGAATAAATATAGGGGTCGGAATGTAACGGGCAAAGACCTCGACAAGTGGTCGCGTGACAGTTATGAAATTTGATTTCTGTTGTCAAGGTCATGTGATCTTTTTAATTGTGCGAATGTCACGATTACATACTCAAATTCTAGGAGCCAGACGAGGCGATGAATCGAACGTCATTCGTCTCTCGCCTCTCGTCTCATCGATTTCTCGTTTGTAAAAGTGCTCTACAGTTATCTACAAATCATTTAGTTTTACACCTCTGTCGAAGGAAAGGAACTCTCGCTGTGGATTAATTTTCCCAAGAGATTTGAGAAACAGATTGGTTGAATCCTTACCTCTGTGTTCCAGGTAAGACTAGGTGCAGCAATTTAGAAGATACTTTGATGACAGTCGTTGTTTGTAGTACCCTCGATTGCAGATATGCCCCGAACAACCTGCTTCAGTATAACTATCATCGTGTATAAAGTCCTACGTGATTCTGATAAATAGCAAAACGAAGATCGAGGTTAATAGAGTCTGAAGATAACGTAAGGGTTCAAGATGTTGAATAAACATTCGAGCGCGCGGTCGTTAGCTTTCGTTTTCTCGGAAATGTTGATGAGAAACTTCAGAGCGCTTATACTATTGTTAGAACATTTGGAAAGAGACGCACTCGGGAAAAATTCGGCTCGGGGGCTCGGGAGCTCGGTATGCTTGCGTGTGAACCATATTCAGAGCAAACTGAGAGTATCGTGAACTGAAGGAAGTAAGCTCTCCGTTGAGCTCACTGCTGCCTTCATCAGATATTAAATTTGGCAGTTCTAGTTGGCACTGCCCATCTGTTACTATACCAAAGTTCTCGCACTTGCCCGTGGACGATTTTGTCAGGCGAAAGAGCTTCAGCGAGAAACCACCAATTTCAAACTGAAGAGCTTGCTCCTTCAATCCCCAAAATTCTGTGAGATGTTTTTTTAAATTCGAATACCTTTGTCTGTTTATCTTTGTCGACCGGAACCCGGCTACGGTGGAGTTCGATTGCGACTTCTTCGCCTTTTCGGAAAAAAAAAACTCGCTATCACTTTTATGATTCCACCCATGGCTAACACGGCTGGACCGTATGAACAAACAACGTGGTTGAAATAATGCATAGATTTAGCCAAGCTTAAAAGCGGACCTCGCATTTCTTTTTTCCCGCATGTCTCAAGGGTAGAACGCCTTGCCACGGCTAGGACTAGACCCCGGGTTGACCACGCATGTTAAAAGTAGCGCCTTGTACGGGTACCCGTACAGTCATAAGTCCAAATTTTTTCGGCTTGATGGGTAACTACTACTACTTTGTATAATTATGGGGCTACGCTCTGCGAATTCCGCTATTACAGTGGGAGGTTTCGTGGGCTTGAGTACCGGAAATTGTTCTGTAAAATGATCCCGCGCTCTTCCGGCCAAAAAGTAAGAAGATGACAGGAAATTCTATAGCTAACTTTAATGTGGTTACTTCGTAAACTAGAAAAAATACAAAATTCTCTGCTGATCTTAACTTTCTGAAAACAAATGTCGATAATGTCGGCCCATGTCGGTAGTCGGTTAATTTTTTTTCTGTCGGTAGTCGGTAATTTTTTTCTCGTTTTGTTGGTAGTCGGCAGTATTTTTCGCCCTTTTTCGCTAGTCGGTTAACCCCATTCACACCCTCTTTAGACAGTCACATTGACTGGTAATGAAGAGTTTACACATTTACTCGGTTTTAAAAAATATTTCACCATGTTTACTGTTATAGCAATGGGTAAATACAATCTAAGGATGCTGAGTAAAACTTCCAAATCACCGCAATCGAGAAGGCATCCCTCTTTCCGTCTCTGGAATATTTATTATGCGAAATCCAACTCATGAGTTTCATTTTCATTTTCACTTAAAATTGTCATGCAAGACATAAATTACCACGAAATGAAGCTCATTAGAGATTAAGGTGTGTAAAGAAACCCCCGATTTTTTCTTTTGAATTGTGGCTTGTTTAACTTGAACTTCAACTGATAAGTTTGGAACATGAACTGATCGCTGAAGCGCTCGGGGAAGACAAATAATATTTTCCTTTGTGTTCTTTTTCAGCTATGGAGGTTCCTCAAGGCAAGACAGATCAAAATCGTGAACAAGACGGCTCTCCAGGTTTGAAAACACTGAATATGAACATTAGCACTATTCCACAATAAAATCTTTCATGTTTAGAGTAGAGCTACCACATATTGCAAGTTTACTGTAAATATTGATCCTGACCATAAATTTTGTTTGAAAGTAAAATAAGTACAACGACATAAGGATGGAGAAACATGAAATTTAATCGTGCTGAAAATATTGCGTGGCTTTCAAAGCTGTTAGTTAGAGCCTAACCGGAAAAAAACTGCGGGCCAGTCTGCTATCTTTTGGCGGATATTTTCACCTCATTTTGCTGAAAGAGATGTATCACAAGCCAGGAACAGGTTTATAACCCATTCAAAACAAAGCTTAAGAGTGTGTCCACGAGAGCACCAGGCAGTCGTGCTACATACCATCTCACCGATTTCAGTGAAATTTGGCCAGTTTAAAGGATCTATCTCAAAACTCAAAAAGACAAATTGGTTTCTGTTTTGGTTTTTTCCGGGGAGAGATAGACAACCCCCCCGGTTTTTCTTGGTTTTTACCAGGGAAATCGCTTCAAAATAGGTAAAATGTATGAAGCTTTCACTGCCATGTTATTTAACCAATTACTCTGAGGGTTTGCACACATATTATTACATCCTTAGTAAATGTTCGACGCAAGTATCAGTCAATTTGATAGACGGCTTGTCAATCAACAGAGGCAAAGAAACGACTGTGTGCTTAGACCTTTCTTTTCGATTCATCCAAATATTTAGCAACTTTGAGGTCAAATATCTCCCCTTGCCAGAAAGCTACAACGCTAATCTTAATTTCCCTTTATAATCCATCATTTCATCTCTGAAAACCATCAAAAAAATCTCCAGGCACTACCGTATTTTTGTGTTGAATGCCTTTTTAAATTTGCGACTGTGACAAGCTTCTCTCAACTACACCAGTCACGCAATTCTGGATCTAGACGGTCACTTGACCAAATAAACCTACATTTTTTAGCTCTTTATACAAGACGATTGATCAAGAAAGCTAAAAAATGTGAAGAACTTTCAAGATTTTCGTAGGAATGGAGAATTTCACGCTTACAGAGATGCGTGCAAGCGAAAAATTAATGGGAAAATCGTAGCGTTTCTTTTTTCTGTCGTTTATTACGCTGGAGATTTGTTGAAATCAGCAAATATGGCTTTTGTACGACACAAAACACTCATTAGTCCATAATTTGATTGTTTGTCGTCATCACTGCTCATTTCAAGGGATTTTAAAGTCACACGCTGCGTGTTGGTTGACATTATCACAAGTTCTAGTGTGCTACAACTTCGGCTTTTACAGACGAGAAATTCTGCGCTCTCGCTCGAGAGCAAATATCGATAGCTCCATCAAACTAAAAACTGTGCTACTATCCCGAAAATAACATTAAAATAGTGTTGTCGTTGTCACCTACCGCCATCGAGCATTTCTTTGCAGAACTCCGCCAAACCAACATCTGTTGCGTGACCCGTAGACTTTCCGTAGGAATTATTCAAGCGCGTTGTTCATGCTGTCTGCTAGATGAAAATTTCAGAATAACCTGCAGATCTCTATGATTATTTGCTTGCTTCTCTCGTAAAATACAGTATTTTTTTAAAGCATTTTATGACTACATATAAATCCACATCTCTCTCGATCGAGTGTTGCCGGCGTTTGATTGCGTGACTAGTAAAATTTATTAATCATTAACTAAGGGATTAATTTAAGGGAAGTATTAAAGGAAAAAGAACTGGGTCAGCATTAGATTCCATCCACCAAAACCACCTCGGTCGAGAGGGACTGAGATGGAATATTTAATGACTTGCAAAACATAGCCGAAGATTCTCGGAAATCCGCAAGTGATGTAGCCGAACATCCGAAGCTGTAAATCCCATGATTCTTGAGGAACTAACAGAAACAGCATAGCGAGAATTTTAAGTCGCGAACCATTGCTTGATGGTAGACATGCAGATAATTTAGGATACGTAAATTCTGTTGATGAGGCGCATAAACTTATTGCGGAATTTGAAACAGGATTGACGACGAAGTTTTCTTCTTTAAAGCTGTCAAAAGTTTCGGGAACACCGGTGTGTGTGTGTATATATATATATTGATATAGCTCTTTGGCATTACAAAGCTTTGCTATCGCTATTGTACATTCTCACTAGTTTATCTAGTTCAAGTCCTCTGGCATGGCTCGGATGATACCACAATTGTGGAATCATTCGGGTTAACTTAATGCTTACACCTCCTTCCTCAGACAGAAGTCACAAAATACTGAGGGAAGATGCATGGGATATTTAAGGAGCAAAAATTCGTTTTTTATTGGTGTGCCTTTCC